ATTCGTCGATATTAATAGATATTAATATTGTGGAATGAGAACCAATGTCAGTCTATTTTCGCAGGTAAAGGGATCCATATCCGCGCGCGTACCGTGTGCTCAGAATTGCACACGTTTTGTTTTGGATCTGAGATATGATACGGTAGAGATCATTCTTTCCGATTTGGGGCACCGAAAATTGATTAAATGATGACGTACAAGGCGATCGTTTTGAAAATAAGACAAACCCTTAAAATATCACCATTATATTCTCGTTAAAAATGATATTTTATAAAATGATATTAAATAAATGATATTAAAGTTGAAATGTTATTTTGAATCACCACCGAGATATAAGTGGCTCGTACGGATTTTATAGAAAGTTCATGCACACATGATATAATTCCGACTGAAGGGGATACTTCGAGAACTTAACACACTATTTCACAGCGGGACACATACACACGTACACGCTCTTTTACGTCTTAGACATTTTTACAACTTTTACAACACAATTTGACACCCTCGACGATAACAATAAAGATTAGATGTTTTATGCAATTTGTGCTATCAAAGGCGAACATATGACATCTTCAGCTTTGTATAATTGATCAAACAAATTCACATTGGTTTAATCAATCAACATTTATTAATTAAAACCGTTGAGACTCTTTTGTTATTTGTTAATTAAATGCATCCCAAAAAATTGAAAACTGCTAAAAAATAAAATAAATTGAAAACTGCTAAAAAAATAAAAAAAAGTATGAAAATTTTTATGTTTGTCCGAGACATCTTTCATTCAGAACGACGAATCAAAGAAAAAAGGGAGATCGAGACAAAAATCTGTACACAGAAAATTTTAATCGTATAATTTTTTTTTCGTATAATTTTTTTGATGATATGTCTTACGGTCATCGACTAATTAATGGACGTCTATAAACGCCTTGACATTCTCGCTTAGGGGATGTCGATCCAAAGTTGGTCAAAGAATTCGCGGAATAGCGCGATAGAAGTAAGAATGCCTTGTATAATGAATGAAGTAAAACAGTCGATAAATGACAAGTGCTAAAGGTCTGACAAAACGATTCGCTTGTCAAGACGCTGGCGTAACAATTTGTAGAATGGCTAATCCTCCCTTTCATCTCACTGCACGTTATCGGGCAGAGTTCTCTTCCTCGGAGAAAGAAATAGGAGTCAAGGGATTTTGAGACGAATCGTCGGTCGCGAAGGATAGACGTCTCTCGACGAGAGACGAAAGACAAAGGAATTAGGGAGGGCGAGGGAAAAGGTTTAAATCGAGTCCGGAGAAAATTTTCGCCACGTCTTCACGGAAAGAGAGAGAAAAGAGGATCGAGAGAAGGGGTGAGCGCGGATTGGCGACGCGTCTTGCCAGCGCCAGGGTCAGAGGTCGTTGAACGTCGGTAAAGATTTCGACTCCCGGCGATGCTGCATCCTGCGGTAAATAGGGGTAAGTGAGTTCCCACCCCTGCTCTGCTTCTCGGGGCAACGTATGTATGCGTATGCTAGACCTGGCGGCAGAGAGCGAGAAGGTTGGAAAGGGAAGGGAGAGCAGGAGGATGAAGAAAGGTCAGAGATACGAGACACTCTCTCCACTACGAAGCGCACCCTTGTTCGCGTAATCCTTGCACACTACGTGGATGCCATTACAGCAGTGGGAGCCAGTTAAGCCATGGGGAAGAAAGACCGGGGGTCGTGTAGACCAAATGATGGAATTCGTTGCCTCTGTTGAATTCGGATTGACGAAGAATTTCGAGAGATCTTCGGATTTTGAGAAAATGATTCGTTATAATGACGATTATATATTACAACTACGAATAATAACGACACAGATATAAATTATTTTTATGAATTGAATAAAAACTAATATGACGATTCATTAAGAAAGTGTCAAAGTGTTAAATATCAAGAAAATTATTTTAAAGAAATATCGAGAAATAAATTTAAAATTAAGATTAATCAGTCTCAACAATTGAAATCGTCAGAATAATATAATATTTTTGTGTTAAAAAATTTAATGATTGTGTCGGGATTTATCTTCATATTATTAATAAAAAACAATCGCGAATATTATGTATGTGTATGAATTCAAATAATAACTAAATCTATCATATTAATATTTTGTTAGAATAAAATAGATCAAATTATTCGTAAATGTTTCAAGATGACCTTTGCTTTTTACTCAATCTAGAAATCTATTCGAGTAATATATGTATATAATTTATATCAAACGTACGCGATATTTCTCGTTGAATATTTTATTATTTTTACGAATCGATAGGATGTAAAGTTCGCCGTCGCATGAATATTTCAAGGATATAAATAAGTGCATAATTAACAATAAAAAATTGTACTTACTTTGCTAAAGTATCCGACGGTGTGGCAGCCTTCAGAATCACCGATCGTCATGACATAGAAAAGAAATGGCTCGACATCGTAGTATAATGTTTTATGATCCAGGAAGAATTTGGCCAGCAAACAAAGATTCTGACAATACTGCTTATACCGCTTCCCATCCACTTCCCATACACCTATTTTATCCTTTCTATAAAAAAACAGCAATTTAAATTATTACCTTACGCCATCAGACGTAAGATAATAATTTAAATTGTTTATTACTGTGTAAATGATAAAGGAAAAATAATGGAATATTCTTACCTATACACTTCATGTCCCGGTGGATGTCTCCACAAACATTTTTCTCGATGTCTCCTTAAAACTTGACGACTTTTCGCATACCTCAGACAATATTCACAAAGATATAGCTTTGGAGCACGACTATATTCTTCAGGATAAGGACTTTGATACCAAACTTCCATTTCCCATTTTCCCATTTCTACGACTCTAGTGCCGCCACCATTTCTACCTTCTCCGTCATAATCTA